CATAATGTCTTTGAACTCTTGTTATCTCAGTTTTGAAAGCCTCCCACTTGCCAGTTGTCCCTTTAGCTGCAAACAGCCTACCCCAATCAACTTTTTAAAAAGTTCTTGTCTAATATCTAGCTCCAATTTAGAACTTTAACTTTTAGACTAGATCTTTTCCATAACTACTTTAAAACTAATAGGACTTCGGTCAATGGTCCCCAAGTGCTCTCCCACTAACACCTCGGTTACTTGCCCTGTCTTATTTTCCAAGAAGGTCAGGGTTTGCTCCTCCTGTACTGGGTATATCTATATATTGAAAAAGAAAAGAAAAATTTCCTTTAACACTCTTAACAAGTTCCTTCCCATCCAAGCCCCTAACACTATCGCACTCCCAGTCCATGTTTGGAAAGTTAAAATCCCCTAGTGTTACAACCCTATTATTCTTACAGATGTTTGAGACTTGTCTATATATTTGCTCCTCAGTTTCCCACTGACCGTTCATGGGCCTATCCCATCAAGATGATCATTCCCTTCTTATTTCTCAGTTCCACTCAGATTGCTCCACTGGACAATCCCCCAGGAATATCCTCTGTAAGCACAAGAGTGATGTTTTCCCTCATCAAAAACAACCAATCCCCATCCTTTATTGCCTCCCTTTCTGTCCTTCCTCTAGCATCTGTACCCTGGAACAGTCCTGTACCCAGTCCTGTCCTTCCCTCAGCCATGTTTCTGTAATAGCTGTGATATCCCAGACCCACGTTCCCATCCATGCCCTGAGTTCATCACCTTACCTATCAGGCCTCTTGCATTGAAATGAGTCTAGTTTAATTCTTCAGTTTTACTTCATTCTCTGTTGTGTTCTTGTGTGCCTTGTCTATTTAACTTGCTCCTTTTAACCTATGTACAACCTGCAATCCTCTCTCCTCCTTTCACTACTGTTTAGAATCCTCACCATCATCATTCTAGTGTAAAGCCTCCCGAGTAACACTTGCAAATCTCCCCGCCAGAATATTGGTACCTCTCCACTTCAGGTGCAGCCCGTAACTGTTGTAGAAGTCACTGTTGCCCCAGAAGACATCTGGGTGATCCAACAATCTCTGCTCCCTGCACCATCTCCTTAGCCACTCATTAATCCACCCTCTCCTCCTCTAACTAGCACTCGGCATTGGAAGTAATCCAGCAATAACTCTTCTTGAGGTCCCAACTTTTTAATCTCCTGCCTAACTTCCTATACTCACTCTGCAGAACTTCATCCATTTCTCTACCTATGTCATTTGTTCCCAATGTGTACAACGACCTCTGGCTGCTCACTGTCCCCTTTGAGAATTTGCTGCAACCGCTCCAAGACGTCCTTGACCCTGGCCTCGGGGAGACAACACACCATTGTGAAGCCTTGCTCATGGTTGCAAGAATCACCTGAGTGGAGAAACCCCTATTACAATTGTGCATTTCAATCTTCCTACCTTTCCTGACAGTCACCCATCTACTGTACTTGTGGTGTGACCACTTCTCTGAAGCTGCTATACATCATACTCTGTGCACCTCCAATATGCACCTCAGTTACTCTAATTGCATCTCCAGCTGATCCAAACAGTCTGATTTGACTGGCATCTGAACCCACTTCCTGCACGCATTGTCTCTAAAGACGGTAAACTGTTCCCTGATCTCTCTCATATGGCAGTCGGTGGAGTGGTATGCACCTCATATCATCTTTGCCCCTTTAACACTTGTGAATGTAGACTTGCCTAAAACACCCACACACACATCCCAGCATTTGCGCACTCTTGCTACTCACTCGGTACTGGTAGAACTTCATGCCTATCTTTTATGTTATAAGGCCTAAGTACAACCTTTTAAAAGTCTTCCCTTCCTTAACCCACAGTTTTAGCTTTTAAATCCAGCACTTAACTCCTAGAATTTGAAAACTTGCTGATCGGGATCGTGACAGGAAAGGCCACTTCCCGAGATCCACTGTCAAGTGGCAATTCTCGGCACTCGCCAGCACTTTCTGGCTCTGAATGCCGGTGTGCCGGTCCCTCAGCCTCCTGGATTCGGCCTTTCAAGAGACGATGATTCTGGGAACCTGCCTCCCCAATGTGATATCACTCCTTCCACTGCTAAAGACATTCCCTCTCTGGAACCCTGTTGAGGCCTCCCAGGGCAGCTCCCTTCTAACAATATAACACTATTTTCCCACCGCTGGATCTGCCTGCTGATAGTACAGGACATATATAGTGATGGGTATTGGGATATCTTGAGCACAATCGTGCTTAAGCAATCGTACATTAGACGGTGTCAGTCTTTGACAGTTTGGCAGAAACCCCAGGTATTAGTAAAGAGGACTTTGCAGGGTCAACAGAGCTGTGTAAGCCATCAACGTTTTTGCTGCAAGTCGATTACAGTCCATCCGCCTGGGTTCATTCCTTTCATACGATTTAGGAGCAGCACTAGTCCGTTTGGCTTTTTCACCCTATTTCTGACATTCAGCGCAATCACCATTGATTAACTAGTGTTTCAAATTTTACATTCCAAATACCCCGATAATTTACTTCTGATTCTCTTGTCCAGTAAGAATTTAGCTACCTTGTTCTTAAAAATACTTAGTGACCCTGCCTTCACTGCCTTCTGAGGCAGAGAGTTCCAAAGTTTCAAAATACTCTGAGAAGAGAAATTCTCCTCATTGTCGTCCTAAAAGGACAGCCCTTAATTATAAAGTGAGGTCCTCTAGTTCTGGATTCACCTATAAGAGGAAACATAAGTTTCATGCCCACCTTGTCAAGACCATTAAGGATATTCAATCAAATCGCCCATCCTTCTTCTCAGCTACAGTGAAAACAAGCCCAGCCTGTCCACTGTTTTCCTTAAGAGAATGTGCTTACAATGGACTTTGTGGCATTTCTTTACATCTAAAGTGGCCATTTCAGAGGGCTGGTCAGAGTCGACCACATTTTTATGGGCCTGGAGTCACATATAGGCTTGACCAGGTAAGGACAGCAGATTTCCTTCCCTGAAGGGTGTTAGTGAACCAGATGGGTTTTTAATGGCAATTAACACTTTAAGCTGTACTGCAACAGTTTGACACGAGGTGCAGCTAATTCTGGAGCACAAGTCTTCAGCATTGTTGCTGGAATGTTGATGGACATAGCTTTTTCAGTATCCGGTGTCATCAGCCATTTCTTTATATCACATGGAGTAAATTGAATTGTTTTGAAGACTGGATATCTGTGATGGTGAGGACCATGGGAGAGGCTGAAATGGATCATCCATTGGACACCTGGCTGAAGATAAATGCAAATACTTTAACCTTGAATTTTGTACTGTGTGCTGGTCTCCCCCATTGTTGATGAACGTATTTGAGAAGCTTCCCTTTCTTGTTAACTGTTTAATTGTCTACCACCAATCATGATGGGATACAGAGCTTAGATCTGACCTGTGGTTTGTGGTTGCTTAACCTGTTTTTTATTTGTTATTTCAGCAGTTTAGTGTTCAAGTAATCCTGTGTTGTAGCTTTAGCACCTCATTTTCATATGTGCCTGCTTTTGCACTTAGCTTTCCCTCCTGTACTCTTATTTAGACCAGTGTTGATCTCCCAGGCCTTTTCTGATTATCAACACTAGTTACATGGTTGCCTTTTAGACTAGCTTTTAATTCCTAATTTTTAAAAATTAAATTTGGATTTCATCATCTGCCATGAGGAGTTTTAAAGTCACTCCCCCAGAACATTATTCTGAAGCTCTGGATTTATTAGCCCAGTGACATAACTATTACTCCCTGCATTGCATTCACTGTTCTGCTACTCAAATAAGCTATGAAATATGGTTCAATATGTGTTCTTGAGTCTAAATCCACTGTCTTTCCAAGCTAACTAACCAGCAGGTGGAAATTTCAGCTCCCAATATGTGGAATTATCATACAAGTGTCAATTAAGACAGGAAATAAGAGCTTCTTGACAGTGACTCAATTGCCTGGTTCTCATGTATTTTGATAAAATGGTTCTTTCAGTGTAAACGGTTTTGTTTATTCCCTCTTGGTCTCTTTGACTTGTCTCAATCTGTGCCCAGGTAATCACAGCAGTTGTTTTAAGCCCGTATTTTTCCTTTTTGTTTTTAAATTTAAAAAATCCCAGTTCCTGAAAACTCTTAGATATAACAGTCAGGTAACAGCAGTTAAAATTTAGTCCATATTTACTATTGTTATACAATAACCATCCGGATTGGTGAAGGAGAAGGGGTTTATGGCACGGCTGAAGTGCATTTCAAGATGGCAAACGATCAAGAGTAAAGTCCACATATTATATGCATTCCATTCATCTTCTGATGAAACAAGCAAAATCAAGTATTGACTTCAGTGGCCGATAGTGATAACAACCCAACCCCCACACATGTACATGCAAAAGTAGAGGGTTCAGAGGCTGCTTATCAGCAATGAAGTATTTCACGATAATTGTACTTTTTACCAAATAGTATCTGAAGTTTATTTTTCATATAATTGTGTAAAGATAAGATCTTGACTATATTTGCATCATCTGAAGTTTGTCCAAAAATTGTTGCAGCAACTCGGTTCTGTTTCTGTTGTCCAATAAAACAGGCGTATTTCACTCTAAGGTAAGATGCTGGTGGAAGAGTGAATTTCAACTGCATTCGTTTGTACAAGTTGCCATGTTTTAAAATTTGTTTTGGCAGAATATGTTGAATTTCAGCTGATATGCACCATCTGGATAGTGATCAAGTCCTGATTTGAAAATATAGTTTTGAACTTGTGCAGCATTTTACTATTTGATGTTCACTTCTCAAATGAAAACAAAGTAAAATGATGGCAGGCAGCTTATTTATAGATGCATTAAGTAGTAAAAATATCAATACTTAGCTGAACTGTATAAAATAAGCATTTTGAATGTTGCAGGTGAGAATGTATTCCAGAACTATAGCCGTTATTGGAGGATTTTTGATTTTAGCAAGTGGTGCTGGCGAAGTTTATCGGCAGAAGCCACGGACCAGGTCATTGCAGTCTACTGGACAGGTGTTTCTTGGTATCAACCTTATTTGTGTGGTAAGTAATTGATCATCCTGACAGAAGTTTTAAAGATTAATAATGAAGAAACATGCTTCTCTGTACATTCTCAAACTATAATGAAATTGCTTTCATAGAACTATGTTCTATGCATTTCAATATTGTATCTTGTGCTGCTGGTTAGGAGCCATTGACCAGCAAAGCTACACAGTGAGAGGTTACATATTTGAGCTTGGCACTGCAACTTTGGACTGGGAATCTGGGTCCAAATTTGGAACCAGTGCTAATTGTTTATAACGTTCTTCCACCCCAAGAAGCTTATTAATAATGCAACCTGGCATTTGTGAGGGCTATTGGGGCTAAGTTATCAATTTCATTGACTGTGTTTTAAGTTATTCACTAGAACATATAATGGTTGTAATAGGTGGCAAGTTTAAGTTATACCATTTCCACTATACCTTCCCTTTAAAAGTTGTGGGATCCTAATTGTTTGGAATTTAATCTACAGGCCTACTCCCTGCAGCACAGTCAAGAGGACCGTCTGGCCTATCTGAACCACATCATAGGAGGTGAAATTACACTGCAGTTGTTATTTGTACTGTACGCTGTACTGGCCTTGTCTTTCCTCTCTGGTTATTGTGTACGGACTGCAGCCCAGATACTGTCTGTTCTTATGCCTCTTGTAGTTCTCTTTATCGATAGCAATGTGGGCTATTGGCATCATTCCTGCCGGATCGAGTTCTGGAATCAAATGAAGCTGCTTGGGCAGAACGTGGGTGTTTTTGGTGCTGCTATAATTTTGGCAACAGATTGTTAGTACATTTTAAACGTGGGGTTCTTTAATGCATGGCACAAATGAAACAACTGACTTGTACCGCTATTTATTTGACTTTTTTAAATGTATAGGTTCTTAAATATATTTTCAATATAGATCATTATCTTGGACAATTCAATAGAAACAAAACTTGTATGAACAGTTGCTTGGATGTTGGTGAATCTGAGGGCCGACTTTGTGAATGTATGCTCCTAGTGCAACGCTCACTCTCTAGGACCACGTGCAAAGAAATCAAGAGCTGCTTTTGGAAGGTCAGCTTTCATGCCAGGAATATATATTTAGAAACGTAACCCACTTTCTGTTTATTGTTGTCCTTTTTCACTGAAGTCCGATTTGAATAAATTATTAGTTCTGTGTGCTGTATCATGAATGATATAAAAGACCCAGAATTTGTTACAGTGTGATGTCCTATGATTTATGCATCTTGTGTATTCATTTATTCTCTGAGCAAAGTATTTTGAAAGTTTCCGTTATCACCTATAAATTGACTTCCTTCCGGTTTTAAAATCCCAACGTTTTTTTCCATTTCTTTACTCATTTGTCTGTTTTTCATGCCAGCAAGCTGCATCGGAAATGTGCAGCTGAGGTCTCAGCTGATCTAGCTGGCAGCTTCGAGAGGCTACTTTATGTTTAGTCAGTGGGTTTCTTACTGTGAGAACATTGTTCTTTTATATGACAAGTTTTATTTTCCACCTCAATGCCATTGGTACCCCCAGTTGCACAGTTTAACAAGGCAGTGCATCCATCATGTTCTTCAGTGCTGAAGTAGTTTAAGTAGAATTGAAACTGTCTGATCCAGAGTTAGATTTGTAGCTGTGTGGGCAGATCAGTGGTGAAACTGCCAGAAGATCAGCAGATCAGCTTTGCAGTGCAATTGGATACTCTTGATCAGAGAAATTTAGATTTTGGTTTTTAGATGTGGCACCTAACTAATTTTTTTTGTTATTGCTAATCTTTTAGTCCATTTGTATGACTTGTTCCCTCTCACCTCAAATTTTTAACAGTCCTTTGATTTTACAGGCAGCTAAGTTTCCTTTGACAAATCACCAGCTTTATAAAACAGTTACCTGCGAATGAATATCAGGGTTATATTTTAAAAATATAAAACTGCACATTCTAATCTAAACGGTTTCTCTGTAAGATGCATCCATGAAGTCCTTTGGCTCCATTTTTTTTTCAGTGAAACAGGAACGGGGAAAGGTTTGATAGGATCTAAAGGTATTTCTCTTGAAGTATGACAAATCATTGGGAACTTTGATTAGTTTTCAGACCAACTGTAAGCTTTTTTTTTCATTTTACCCTTTGGCACCCTCGTTCCCTACCAAGGAAAATCAGTGCTGAGATTGTATAGCTCTTCAAAAACATTTAGTGACCAAACAGATTGAAATTAAAATTGAAACAGTACTGTCTGAGTGAGAAAGGAGAGGATATTTTGTGTTCAGTTATACTACCGTTAGGTCAATAAATGTTCTTGGTTGGAATGATGAAAATATGAGTTGCAATGGTGCAATGGATTTTGTCTTAGTTTGTTCCTATTAATCTTTGCTGAGTTGTTTTTTGTTAGTCAGTCAAAAATTCTTGTATCTTTTTCTCTTGCAGTTACCCTTTTTTGAGCACTTGTTTTTTTTTATTTCTGCTTGCAGATATGTAGAAATGGAATTTGTTTTTTAAACAAATGATATTTAACAAAAAAATGCTAAAGGCCTTCTGTCCATTGTTCTATTATAGTTTTTCCTCTTTATAATCTGTTTGGGTTTGAGGAGGGGATCAAGCTATACAAGTCCCTGTTATTTGCTTTTTTTTAAAACTTGCTACCTGTGCAGGAGTAGTGGGATTGTTGAAAGACAAAAACAAAAGCAAAAGATTTCACTAGAACAAAAGTCCTGTCTGTTGAAGTAATTTTTATTGTGAGTTTGAGTGCTGGTACAACGTTGGGGCACTTATCGCACCTGTCCGTGGTAGCATCTGGGTAATTTGCTTGCCAGATAGGGGCTGTATTGCAGGCTTGTAGCTCATGTTTCTAAAATATGTGTATATGATATTTTAATATTTCAGTAGGATTTAAAATCTTTATGCTTTTTGAAATTGGTGAGATATATAAAACAAACATAATCTATAGAAAGATATATATTATGACATTTTTCATGAATGGCATGTTTCTATTAGGTGCGGGACGTGAATCTGGATAAACTGGATGCAGTTCACTTAGTGTTATTTGTCTTGTGGTTGATCTAACTTGTATAGGACTACACTTCTGTTTGATGTAGCGGGAACCAGTATTGTGCTTCAAATGCAATGATATTGTATATTTAAAGGGTTTAGATTGAGTGATATCTGACCAGAATTCATCTGGGACCCATTAATAATGAATTACTTACTGGGATATGTTATTCCTGTTTGTAATTTTTTTTCAATCTACATTTCACAATGATTGAGTCTAGCAAATGGTAGAAGGAGGGGGAAAAAAGCTCCATCCGTAGTTGTTGCATTGGACTACTGTAGTTCTTTTCTCTGCTACTACAAAAGTCAACAGATGAAATGAAATCTCAAAGTAATTCCTAATGTGTGTCAGACTGCAAACTGTCCAGAGTAACATGGTGCTAATTTGGTAACTAACCTAGATCTTAATGGCTGAGGTAGAAAATTGGACGCCTTATTAAATGGTAGCATTTTGGATTAAGACATAGTGTCAACACAAGAAACTGAGAGCTTTATTTCATGAGTATCCATTGTGTATTTGACCTGAGTGCCTTATGCTAACATTGAATGCAAAAAGTGGAAAGCACAGTTTTTCCCAGCACTAATTTTTACACTCTTGTGATGAAGAAAGGACACTGAATAATTAAATGGTCCCTGGGTAATTGTTGAAGTGAAACTATCTGAAGTGAACTTGAACTGATCTGTTTAAAGTTCTTTAAATATTCACTAACCAATCTTAAGCATATTTCATAATAGTTTTTGAGAAGTGGTTGTATTTTCAATTTGATATTTATTTAGGAAGGCCCAGATTGTCAACCAGCTGTCCCATGGACTAAATAGAATAAATATCTATTAAAGAACTTGTAACTTTAAATTGTTTAAATACAACTTTCTTCCTTTAGATTGAAATGGTGGCACTTTTTGTAGTGATCACATTCATACTTTACAGTGTAGTGCAGCATTCTTTCAAAAATGGGGACACCAGTATATTTGGGAGCTTTTTAACGTTCAATTCTGTGCTACTTGACACACGCACGTTCCCTTTACATGAGTAATTTTATCTACAGTTGCGCTTTTTAAACAAAGTTGACTTTGAAATCGAAAATGTTAGTGCCTATCACAAATGTCTTTTGTTTTAGGTAATAGGTTCTCGGACCACCCTTCAGTATGAAATAATTTTGTTAAATTGAAAGGACGTTAGTTGAAATATGTTCTTCTCCTTCTCATTCACATTCCCTCCATGAAGATCAGACATTTTGCAAATCCTCAATATGTGTTTCTTCGATTAATAATTTTATAATGCTCCAAAAGTGAGTAAGCAGAAGTAACAGGGCAGAATACACATACCAAACAGGTTGAAAAGCTTATTTTAAATTGAATGGCATTCAAAGAGTAGAATATACATCATGCAGAAAGTACTGTTTCTAAGGTTTTCCTGTATGAAATTAGTAACTATTCTAGTACATTCATGTATCCAATTTTTCAATACAATGACTTACGTGGCAGTGAATTGAGTAAATATGCGTCAAAGACCAAAACAATTTAAAGCTTTAAAAGTAAATTAGAATATAGCAAAATCTTCTGGTTTCGCCTTGTCAAATTTGATAAGGTGCATTCCACTAATGGCAAATACTTCAGTCCATACGTGAAGCTTTAGTATGTACTGAAAGGGGAAGCTTGAAGCCAATTTAAAATGTTTTATTATTATTGCATATTTTAACTGTCCTGTTGCAGATTTAAATCTTTGTATTTAGCCACATCTGTTCCATTTGTAGGTATTCCTCGGGAAGATTGGTTTTATTCAATTGTAGTGTGTCAGTAGTTATACAGAATTCCCTTTAGATGGATATTTTAGAACGTATTTCTCTCTCCACACTTCTCAGAAAATGTATGAAGTTAAAATGTATTTTTTCTTTTCATTCTGACCACTTTCTTAACATTTTCTACTACTAGGAGGGAAGGGTTGTTCCAGTGTTCTTCTGGCGATGGGGCGTGACCCACGTTGATGCAATTTCCAATTCCCACCTGCTTTCCTTCCTAACAGTTAATACTGTAAAGTAAAGGGGGTTAGCGTGAGGTTGGTTATAAAGCGAATGCAACACTTATTACTAGCTTGTTGATTTCATTTAAAGATAGATCCACAACTTTAAATTAAAAAAGTCAGTTCTGTAACTATGGTGTTCTACTGACAAGTTTAAGAATCTGTCTTGGTTTGATTTCACAAACTGGGTGGTTCTATCTAAATTATGTTGGCATATAAGGCAGACCCAATCTCACATAAATTTTGTCCGTAATAGTTGTGAAAACAATAGATATGTCAAAAACAATGACTAAGAACAAGTAAGGCTTGTTTTTATTTCCTATCCACTGACTATAAATGAGCGCGCTTTCTTTTTTGATGAATCTAATCTTTGATTAACATTTGCCAATTGGAATTTGAGCCAGTAAATGTAAAGTCTTTTGTGTACATATGCATACACTGTTTGCACAACCTTGATGATCACCAATGCTGACATCGTAGTATTTTGTAATTACAGTGAATGTACTTCTCTGTGATGCCTGCCCAATCCCTAATCAATTGCAAAGGGTCTTCACAACTTCATTAACAATATTTGTGATTGTACATTCAGTAAGGGGACATTTTCTTGTAAGTAACTTTACATAATATGTTATATGTAGAAAAATGTTTAGATTTCCACCACAGGATCTAATGCTTCTAATGTAAAACCAATCAATATTCCCCATTTGTTAACTTATCCTCTGAAAGGAGTACAGGATCACAAAACATAACATTTCATCTTACAAATTTTAAAGTTCAGTCTTGGACTGATGTAAAAGTCTTGTGTGCAGACCCAAAATTAAAGAAACTGTAATTGAGGAACTGTACGTTCCTCTGGTAAGTGGTTTATTGGTCAGTGGTGCCAAATAAAACAAAATTAGGATTATATTAATTTGGTACCCAAGCACACTGAACCTGATTAATCTAAGAAGCTACTTTGTAATATTATTGAGTTTGTTGATTTTGAAGTGTTAGTTGAATTAGTTGGAGAAATGTGGCCAGAACAACAGTAGGAACCTCCTTTAGAATGATCTGGACTAAAAATTATTAAATTGCTTGCCAAGGATCAGAGCAATGGGAAACTTTAGACACCTGGTTCTAATGAAACTCCGGAATGTGACCTATTTGTGGGCTTTTGCTTGCATGATTTTAGTACGTAGTAGCTACTCCTATCGTACCACCTATGGCTTATCTTAAACCTAAAGACCTTGCTTAAGGGAGATCTCTGATCCACAGTGAGATTGAATTTTCTATCCATTGACAAAATTTAGTCCCATGTGACTTCAGAAAACCTCACCACTGAAACTTGCATGTCTGGGAAGTGTAAAATTTATGGACATTCCCTGTTGTATACTTGAAATATTTTACAACTTAATGTCTAACTGGATTATTTTTGTGTAGCCAGCTCAGAATTTTTCAAATATGAAGTGCACTGTTAGCAATGTATGACTGAAAATATGTTTACACTTGAAAAAGCATAATGTACTCATTTTCTGTAACTAAGTTGATACTTTTATTAAAGCTCAGAACACTTTTTTGAATTCAGTACCAATGTGTGTGCTCCGAACTTTTTTGAGTTCATATTAAAATTTCCAAATATTTAGTCTAGAACCTTAGCAAATGTTCTCCATATGTTAGATGAAAAACTTAAACCAAAACAAAACTTCCAGTTATAAATCTAGTAAAGTTTTAAAACTAGTTTTTCATTTCTCAATTTTTCAGGAATGTTTTCACTATACTGCTTTCTCATGGGAAATGATTTTACTTTAAATTTGTGACTGTTCCTGTTAAGGCTACAATATGCATCGGTGTGTCAGCTCCAAGTAAACTCCGATGTTCTTTGTGGATTTAGCAAATTATGTAAGAAAAGTGCTACTGTTAATTATTCATTGTCCAAATGAGTGCATGTCTGTTAGCAAACCTTTTGCATTTCTTCCAATTTACAATGTATCCATTTAGATGTTTTCTTTCCTAGTTAATCTTTTGATAGGATTTTCCTACTGTAAATATATTACAAAAAAGTGTTTTTTTTTCACTTTTGGGACATGTTTAAACCTGTTCAATAATTTTCCACCTGATACTTGCCTTACTCTGACAACTCCCCAACTTTCACTTCACGTGAAGTTTCACGGTTAACCTCAGTTTTGCCTTGTACTGTCTGATCTTGAGGTTAAGTAACAGCATGCCGTTTGATTTATTTATTGTCAAGTGTATTAAGTATAGTGAAAAGTTTGACCTGTGAACTTCTCGACCGGGTAACTTGTGAAAACTTAATTTGGACATTAAAAGAAGTGGCAGCCGTGTTTGAACAGTGTTTTCTACTAATGGGAGGGAATGTGGTTGTTCAGCAAGACGGAATATAATAAGATTCATATTTTGATTCGTGTTTTGGCTGAGCAGGTTCAGAGATGCATGAATGAGAAGATGAAGCAGTAATTTATCTGGGTAATGCTTCAAATATCTTAAATGTGATTTTTAAATCTTGCATATGGTTCATAATTTTGATTTGGAAAAAAGGATAATGACTAAGACATTGACAACATCCAGGTTTAGCCTGATAAGTGGCAAGTAACAATTGTATCGCACAAGTTCTAGACAATGTCCAGCTCCAACAAGACATAATTTACCCATCATCCTTTGACACTGAATGACATTATGGTCACTGAATCTCGATTATCGACATCCTTGGTGTTTAATTACTGATCAGAAACTCAACTGGACTAGCTGTGTAAATACTGTGGCTACAAGAGCACGTCACAGTCTGGGAATCCTGACTGTCCACGAACTATAAAGCATAAGTCAGGAACATGATTGAAACACTCCCACTTGCCTGGATGAGTGCAGTTCCAACATCAAAGCAGCCTGATTCACTGACGCAACAGCCAAATATTGATTTTTTTTTTTTTTAAAAGCTACCACCTATTGTGGATTAAAGATCAACTTAATGGGTGTGTACGCATCAAAGTTTGGTTCGTAAATGTGTAAGAGTATTCAAAATTACCCCACAAATGAACTAAGTTACCCACAATAAGTTTTTTTTTGTTTCTTTTTATTGGTAAAGTACATGTTATTTCAAAAGCAGAGCAAGTGTTAAAGTTAGCCAAATTAATTTAAGATCCGATTATACCAGATACATTTTAAGTAAACTGTTCAAAGCAAGATATGTACACTTAGTACTCGGAACAATACCAGATATTCACTATACGTTGAGGTACTTGCTCAATTAATTCTGGTTAGGAAAGGAGCATTCAGTATTTTTAATATGGGCAAGAAAATCAGCACCTTTAGATATAATGAATGGCATTACAATATCAAACCCATATTATAGATTTGTAGAAGTAGCAAACTGTAATGGTTAGATACATAGATCTGATTTTGTAGCTATTACTATGTTGCTGGTGTTTAGGAAATGAGGTCCTACAGGCTGTTCATCCACTGCATCTAAGACAATCAAACACTGGTTCCACTTACTTGCATTGCCAACAGAAGTTACTGGATAGCGGGAACCCTTGGCAGCGGAACCCATAGCTATTTCTTCATTGCCTAACTCTGTGACCAGTTACAGCTCTACATGGGTAAGACCAACTAAATCGGCATGGTACAGGATGGGGACCACGTGGCTAAATTCATTAAACCATCAGGTAATTTTTACATTACTCTTATAAACTATGAGTACAATCTTCTTGAAGTCTGGGGAAAAACTGGCTCCTTGAAGATCCATGCATGAATTAGAAATGATTTTGTCCAATTTAACTATAAATTTTAATGTTGACTTTTATATTTCTGAGAGCCAAAAAAAGTCAAAGTTATTAAATTTTCCTGAAAAGGGAACATCAATATAATATGAACATTTTCATACTGAGAGGAGCATATTGATTGTTTGGTAGAACCATGCCATTGGAGAATGCAAAGAAAATTGGATGATGACTGACAGTTAACTGCCAGGCTTTGTTTAAACTTAAACCAGGTAGCTTTAGTCTGAGTCGTCAAGGCATTGCCCAGAGGAATGAATCAGAATGGCTGTCATCTGCTTTGTTCAGTTGAAATGGCATAATGTTTGTACATGTCATTTTTATTTAGACCATCTTGCCCAGTCACAGTTCCCAACACTAAATGTGATAATATCTTCAGAGTTTTGCAAACATGGGCTGAATAGGCAAGGTCAGTATTTTGCCTATTGTGAGCAACCAAAGGGACATGCTATTTTATATGATCAGACAGGTTTTTTTTCAGATGTATGGCCTGCAAACCTAGCATCCCACCAGCTGTGAAATTCATATACCACTTTACTCATTTGTATGATAGGCAGAACATCATCTGGACATGATGGCAGCATCTGTTAGTGGTGATCACCACCCCCCTGTGTTTCTATTGCACACAACCAGCATGACATATTATCAGGCAAATGGCTTTGATGTGCCCTATTTCACCTTTTGTGAATGCATGGTGAGCAAATGGCTTGGGCCTTAAGGCTGCTGGGAAGGTCAATCTTGCACTGTGTGGAATGGCAGGAGACCCGAAGCGTACATTTCCCAGTAAAGATAGCTGAGAAAATGGCTACCTTGATCATATTTTTTCATTGTATACTGAACATTGTACAAGCTCACAAATGGGACTAGGCTGCCACTTTGGACTTGATTATCCTGAAGGTTAAGGTATCTTGCAAACTTGAGTAACAGGCAAAACTAGCTGTCGAACACTGCTGCTATGAAGTAGCAGTCCATATTTGCAAAACTCCTAAACTGTGTCCAACATCAGATGTGATTCTGTGATTTGTCAGCATTTGCTAAACAATACCGAATGAGCTATGAATTATATTGTCAGCCAATTTAAGATTCAGTCTGGCTCACAGTATAACACACTTGCATGCACTGGAAGCTGTATACATTAATATGCAGGAGGCTATTCCTTGCAGACAGAAAGATAAGTACACCTACTACACCTGTTTAAACTGAACAAAATAGGCAACAGCCATCTGGTTGATTCTTTAGGGTGATCAGAGTCAACCTGCCTATTTAAATGTAAATAAAACTTGCAAGCTGTTACTCATTATGTAACTGATGCATTCTCCTTGGCAATATCTATACCAATTCACTTGCCAACCATCAGCACACCCTTCTAATACAGTACAAAAATGTTGTTCCCCTTGAATTGTCATGAAGAGTGCGTGACAAAAAGCTTCAACAAAATATGTCCTTTTCTCAGCAATACCATGGTTCTGTACTACACGCTGATTATGTGTGTTGACTTTTGTTACATGGTATATGTATTTTAAAGGATAAATTAGACTGAAAGACATTTATCTCATCTGGCCTTCTCATTACACAACATTTAAATATTGCTTCACAAAATAAATTTGTTACTGAGCTAAATAAACAAAACAGACATTGAGATAAAACATATGCAGTTTTTGATCAGAATAGCACATGCTTATTTCACAAGATGTACATTTTAGGGGTGATCTGAAATAAATGTGTACAAGCTGCATTGCTCTGGTGGATCAGGTATTTAATGTTTTTTTTTTACATTTAGCATAAGATTCTAATGCCTGTCAATATTTAAGTGAAGTTATCTTTCACCTCTGTAAATGTTTTTTAAGACTGGTTCATTTTACAACTTATGACCTTTTTTATGTTGACTTTAGTATCTGGTGATCCAGGATAGCATTGGCTGTGTTCTAGATTTCGAGAGGTGCATTTATCAGTAAACGTACTGGTCAAAAATCTCAAATAATTGCAGCTACTAGAATTGACTTAGAATAACATTATTGTTAAATCTTGACTCTTCCAAAGTAAAACACAATGGTGATTCTTCCAAGTGCAAAAAATAGACTTCAAATGAGACTACAGAAACTGTCCAGCAGCTTCAATGCATCCAGTTCCTTCACCATCTAATAACATCATCTATAAACAGTGGCTTACAAGAATACCCTCCTTTTAATTATAAAGCAACTGGGAAATTGGAATACAGACTCTAAGCGTGCTGCAGTTTCAAACTGTTTTTATAAATAAATATTAGTGAGATGCACCTCGGAGAAAACACTGGGCTTTTAGACAGAAAATCCTAATGGCATCTGATGCCATGAAGCAATCTATCATCTTATTGAAGTAACATCTCTTTACAAAAAAAAAATCAACCAGGTAGGAATATACTGGTTAGCGCTATGTCAGACTCCTTGGAGTATAAGTGGACTGAGTCATCATAAAATGTAATTGTGCATTCAATTGAGCACACAGCCTTAGTAGACCTGAAATTCATTAGAAAAAAAGCCTTGCAAAATTACCCTTCTATCAGGGTAGTGAGAAATAAACAGATGCTCCTATCACTACACTGATACTACTTAATATTCAAACGTTTTTATGAGTAAATGGATTAGTAAGATGTTATTTGCCTACTCCAAGAGTTAAGATTTCCATTGAGGTAGTGTTTATGATGAATAAAATGTCTTTTGAAAATGGAGAAAATTGAAGCAAAATCATATTTGCTCTTTTTTTTTGGGCATCATCCTTGTCCACGACTAATAACAGCTGGATAAAGAGTAGAATTTGAAATCTCTCAACAGCATAGAACTGAAAAGTAATTTGTTAATTCTTTACTGTAATTTGTGATAGCACTTCAGTGACATTCAGATTGAGAGCCTTGGCATTTTTGATCCTTTGACCAAATCAAATTGTTTCATGAATACATCGGATTTAATTTGAAAGCTTTCAGGGCTAAGAAGGAATTCAATACTCAAAATACAAATGGAGGAAAGAAAAAAAAAGTACACCAGACCTAAGATGGAGTTGCATTAATTCCAGGTCTAGTTTTGTCTTTCCAGTATTGAGAAACATATCAGCCATGCTCAAATGGTGGAGCAGACTCGATTGGAGCAGAATTAATCCATTCAGCCTATCACTCATGGTCTACAAATTGGGACAGGCAATGACATGTCTGTTTGAAAGATGGATGTGTTCTTTATTATCTTGAAATGAATTTATGAATGATATATAGTATATACATACTCGTACCACTGCAGGTCCATGATAGGACATGGAACCATTACTGAAAGAAAATAGACACAATTAAATGAAAATTTCTTACCTGAACCCATTATGAATTTGAGCCCAGACTGCTCTCAGATATCTTGTATGTGAATAGCGGGCTCAATTCTCACATGTAAATGACACATTAATAGTTTTCTTCACATTCCTTTCCAGACACAAATACCTCTAATGATAATCAGCATTATGGCATTGGCTAAATTTGCATAATGCCTGAAAATGAACGTGGGGACCACAAAGCACAATTCCCCCTTGACTGGTGGGTGTATGGCAGGTAGCACACAAACCAGGTACTAACTGCTAATTTAAATAGGAAGGAAAGCTCTTGTCATCCAGTAATTGTTTTTTGAGCCACTTTGGTGACACATTTGTAGGCTGACTGCTGCAGAATGAAGGTATTATGGTTATTGCCAAACGTAATACAGTCAATGACCATGCGCTGTATGGGGATGGAGGGAAAGGAATCCCATTTTGTCCAGTATGACAGTGATGCATGACACATTGAAAGCGATATATGTATGTGTATACCTCTGGATCGTTTGTTCAAGGCTCTGGATTACAAGTCAGATAATTAACCAACCACAATGCTCCCGTTCCAGGGATGTATGTGCTGCTACCAATGTGATTTGCATTTGTCATTTCTATCATTGAAGAAAGCCACACTTGAAACTGCATTATACAGATAGAAACAGAAGTTGTAGGAAAAGTTCAGCAGGTCTGGCAGCATCTGTGAAGAAAAAGTCAGAGGTCACCAGACTTGAAAAGTTAACTCCGATTTTTCTTGCCACAGATGCTGCCAGACCTGCTGAGCTTTTCCAGCAACTTTGTTTTTGTTCCTGATTTACAGCATCCGCAGTTCTTTTGTTTTTTTTTTATTATACAGGTAGGCTATTCCCTCAAGGTTGTTAAGCTACCATTTTTTTCCTTTTTTCTTAGATTGTGTACAAGGAATACAGAATCACAGGAACATTGGCTTCAAGGAGCTTTACAGAATTCAATTTAAAGTTAACTCCCTCTAGAAGGTTACTACATTGTAGATCTAGCCTTTTAAACCTCATTCAAGGCAATTGTTCTCATTAGACTGGCTCCATTTTCCTCAGTTCAGGTATGATTAGCAACCTGTTTTGACCAATAGACTGCACTTTGTGTCTAATCTTCCTCTGAATCAGTAGAAATCATACTCATCGCTTAATGGTCAGTTGTTCTCCTCCTGGACATTTTTGAAAGAGGATTGATTGCACAGCTTTTTTGATGAGCCTGTGAGCAAGCTGCCTGTGTGCATCTCTCCTCAGTTTTAATAAAAACAAACTTAACAATCATCGCTATCATTTACTACAAATATTTTGTCGAAGACAGAAATATACTTGATTTTAAAATTGTAACTGTTTTTGAAGCTCTCCTTTAATTTTGATTTTACTAGCCTTATGCTAATAAAAATAGAATGCTTCACTCTTTTAGTATAACGGAATTTATAGGCAACCAATCCCACTCAACAGCTTAAAAAGGATGAGACATTCAGAGCAACTGGGTATGCCAAAGGAGGAAACTAAGGCAACTCTAATTTTACAGCAGCAATTTTTCAGATTCAGATGACAAAGAAAAACTAGGACAGAAAGTGATGAGATTTAGTTTGAATTTTCTGTAGCAGATGATGGCTGTTGATTTATAGGCTGATTTGGTTGTATAAATGAATCAAGTAAACTTTCCGCGTGGTCCACTAGTTCGTAAGAGTCACGCATGTTAGACAGGCCGTACCAAAAGACTATCCACTGTCCAGTTGTAAAGCTTCCATCGCACTGTTTGAAATACCTGCACAAGAGAAAACCAAGTACATTGGTTGTGAACAGCATTGACCACAGTAGCTAGAAAATACACATCAACTTTTAAAAAAAAACGTTAAATCAAAGCAAGAATCAAATTAATGAGCAAAGAAAATATCAATTTGATCAGGTTATGTCCATAATCACTGGAATTTAGATTAATTTGAAGTGATCATATTAGAACATACAAGATTCTAAGGGAGCTCAAGGGTAGATGCTGAGAGGATGCTTCCCCCTCATTGGTAATCTAGTGCTCAAGGGCACAGCTTCAGATTAAAAGGGTCATCTATTTAAGATGGAAATGTAGGGATTTCTTTCCTCACAGCACAGTGCAATGAAGGTTGTAATTGAATATATTTAGGCCCAGTTAGGACAGATTTTTGCACTGCGTGGAAATTGAGGCTTATGGAGGCTAGGCAGAATATGAGGTTGAGGCCAAGATCAGATCAGCTATGATCTTAACTAGTGGTTAAACAGCTCCTAGGGTCAAATGGCTTATTCCTGTTCCTACTTTTTGGAAAAGAGTGAGGGTAAATAATGAGAAAGAAGCAATTATTACAGCACTCCTTTCTGACGTGTGGTATTTGATCAGCGTTATACCTACTAAGGCAACAACTGGTATATTGTACCAATTGGAAAATAAAATCCGACACTGGGTTATGAATATTGCGATACACGTTTAATTATACTATACAATGACAGTCCTGGTCGCGAGAGAAGCTGTGAATAAATGACTTAAAAATCCAGTATTGAGACATGCAGACCAATCAAGTACCAGGTTGAATACATAATCTCACCTGAAGCTACTCAACAATAGTGCCAGTTGGATTTCCCTCAACTGGCCATAAATTGTTGACGTTGAATGTAAGATGTGGTAGGATGGTGAAATCCAACCAGACATGCTGCTTCTAGCCATCAACAATGACACTTGGTGGGAAGTACATACATGGTTAACTTTAGCAGTGCTGTTCTCAGCTGACAGCCGTGACCAAATAGTTCACTGACACCCATTGCCTGTGGTCACATGTAAAGAATGGACAATTGGACAAGGGATTTTACCAGTAAGGGGCTGTATCTCAAAATAAATGAAAGGGGAGAAAATTTCGAGGAAAAAATAGTGGATCTAGCTTTAGACTAATAAACACTGGCTCTAGATCAAGATCCTAAAAGAACATTGTTCCTTAATCTGTCATACCCCTTCTGTAATTGGCTGGAGTTAAAGCAATTTGGTTGATCAACAGTCAAGCCGGCTTGTACGTGGCATTGACTTGCCAAAATCTCATTCAGCTGGCTGATGCATACAAGCAGGCTTACCTCTATAAATTAGTTTCTATGCCATTCTGGCTATCCAGTTCTGTCTGTGCCACTCAGTCTCTGCTTCGGTTTGCTGATGTGTCTGTATGTTACGCAAGTAAACATAACAGAAGATTAAGAAAAGCAGACAGAGGCAGGAGGAACAAGAGTGGCAGAAGAAAAGGAAGACAGACATGAGCAGAAGCAGGGATGGGGTGAAAATGAGGAAACTAGCAACAAGGATGAGGCAAAACATAATAAGCAAGGGGTGGAAAAGGAGGTGGCAGAGGAGCAGGTGAATGAGAGAATTGGATGCATGATTGTTCAAAAGCACCTGCCATAGCATGTGTGTATCGTTTGGTGTGCACTGTCCTGTGTTTTGCTTGGTTCCTTCAGTTTGGTGTAGTATTTGGTATTTTCCAATTTAATAACCTTAATTTGTTTTTAAGCGACGCATTGATTGTCTGCAATATTGCCCACAGGTAGTCTGTGATGGGATTGGAGCTAAGCATTCTTACTTGAGCTAAAGAACAGCAGCCAGACAGCACAGAACAGTAGGAGGTCAAGAGATAGTGCACAGCAGGAGAGATGTCAGCAGTATGCAGACTGAGCTGTACAGCACAGTGGAAGTGAGTGTGTAGTACAGGAACAGTAGGCACTGACTTTTAAAATCAACTGTTTGGGCCGTGAGGAAAAGTAGAGACCTACATAAGGAAGGTGCCGGACTTCAAAGAATTGTGATAGTAACTTTTCTGAGAAATTTTGTCCCCAGGTCTAATTTCTAGTCAGGAGGCAATATTTGGGATGTGTTTTTAAATGTTCCAAAGCTGTATTATGTATTGACGTGAAAAGACACGTTTGCTAAATAATCGAGTGCTCAAAGAATTATGCTAACAATCAATTTAAGATTGTCAGTTGGGCACACAGTGTGGCACTTGGAAGCTACATCTATGAATACACAAGGTAAACGGAAAGGACACTGCCCTTTTCAAACTCAGCAAAATAGATGAAAGGCATTCTCTGGTTAATTTCTCAGGGCAATGCTTTAGACAATCAGGGTCAGCCTGCCTAGTTTAAAATCTAAACAAAGTTCAGCAGGTGACTGTTACTCATCATGAACTGGTGTATTCTCCACAGTAGTACATCTACTGCTCAAAGTCCACTTGACCCCAAAAAGCAGACTCTTCCCATACAGTATAAATGGTGTTTTTCCTTTAATTTATTATTTCTTGCAAGTTGTCCTGATGAATGAAAACTTTCACAAAAATGTGTCTTTTTTCAGCAATTGTAAGTTCTGTACCACTAAACAACTTTATTACTGTGAATTGTAAGATTATCTTTGCTTACTGCAAGCCAAGTCTTACTGTGTGAAAGCTGAATTCTGAGAATTACAATCTGTTAGTGTCAAACAAAAGTATTGACACTGGTGCATTACTTAGTGTGATATTTGTACACTGTCACTGGCATACAGTGGAAGTCATTAGTTGATTAAGCCGCTTTGCTTCCAAACTTGTTACTGTTCTAATTCAAGCCTCAGAATTTTGGAGAGGGACGTGCCTCAAATAAATAGAAACACCAATTGAAATGTTTCAAAAACTTCCAAAGAGAAACTTCTTAAATGGCTGTTTGCTGACATTTCCATAAGAACTATCTTTATATCATTATAATGGTTTGTTGCTTTCCACATTGTACAATTATCTTAGCAAAGGTCTTAGATACACCATTTGATTGACAACTCAAAGAGGTTATTGAAGTATTGATGTGGGGTTAGGAATACAAGTCTAGTTCCTTTTATTAGGGATTAATTATTTGAGGGTATTTAAATGTTTTTAACAGATTTTCATGAGAGGGAGTATTTTTAAAATATATTGAAGGTTATGTTAGATACTTCAGCCTTTCATTTTACCATGCCTCCTGAGGTCTGCCCATGGTGGATATTGAGTAAGTTGGCCTGGAGGATGTAAAAGCCAGCGTTGTTGGATATTATGGCATGGATTGGCTTGAGTTATCATTATGTTGTCATGAGGGTTATAAGGGGGCATGTAGTGGGTGAGAGCATGAGTTGAAAGGAGGCATGATGTGGTATGAAGACTATGTGCAGGGGGTGATGAGATGAAAGGTGAGTGGTACACATCAAGATTTAAGGAAACAACTGCTAGTTGACCAAAGACCAGACTTGTAAATATCCTGCTTTGGCACTTGGCCATTTTCCACTACTCGTCACCAATCCTGGAGCAAAAACCAGATTTCAACTGGGTGTTTCATCCAGAGGCAAGCACAGTGAGTCAGGAAATTTTCTGATACATACTACCGTCCTCTGGAGCAAATATTGGACTCAAGGATCCAACTATGTAGATTTATTGTTCAAACAATAATGCATACAATGAACTGTTACACACAGTCAAGGCAACAAACTGTGATATTCATGTGAGGATATAGTTTATTATATCAGATATTAACTGTGCTGCATAAGTCTGGAAGGAATTAATGTAGAAAAATGTCCCAAGGTGTCTCATGGGCAAAAAAAAGGATATTGAATGAAGAAACAGGATTTTAGGAGGACTGAGCAAGCATTTGGCGCATGAAGTGCATTTTAATGAGGTTCTAAATTAAGATTAGAAAGGCATCTGGGATGCTTGCCTTTATTAGTTAGGCATTGAATAGAAGAGCGAGGAATTATGGTGGAGCTGTACATACTGTTAGGTCACTGCTGGAATATTGTGAGCAGTTTTGGTCATCATACTCAATGAAGGATGTCTCTGTTGTGGAGAGAGATTCAGCTATGAAGAGAGAGTAAACAGGCTGGAATTCATTTCCTGAGAAATGAGAATTGAATTTAATGATTTATTATATTTTACAGTGAAGAAAATATTAAAATAGTGAAAATCTTCAAATGTTGCCACAACTCTGTGCCATTTTGAATAGTTTAAGAATAAAATGATATAACTGGAAGAGAGCCTATCTTTGTTCCGCAGCCTCCTCCATGAGCCCTGAGCCAGCTCCCCAGCGACACCTGTGCTACCATCTCTCCTCCAATGCCATCTGTACCAGACCCACCAACGTTGGAGTCGTCATTCTTTAGGCGCCATCTCTTCGCTGCTTGGCCTGCCTCACCGACGCCCGAGTCCCATGCTGAACCCACACTCAGCCCCACAACCCAAGTCCCTATCTCCATTGCTGCTGCCACCCCTCACCGATAACCAGGTGCAACTGCACCCTGATGTCCCTGGCTCTGCTGCCAGGCCAGACCGCCACAGTACCAAGTGTCCTGCTCCGGCTGCCCCCCTCTGAGATGTTGCCTGCCATCTTGAAGAGTCTGTTGCCACTGCTGTCACCTCTGACCCCCGGGAGGCTGCTGCCACTGCACGTATGCCCGACTTTTGCTGCCGTGCCAGTGCCACTGACTAACCCGCCAAAGAAAAGAGAAATGAAAGATAAAAAGCAGAAAAGAAAGAAAGATGATAGGGGTGGATCAGGCCTGGGTAAGAGCCTGCACACAGTCCTGCTGCTCCACTGCCATCTTGGAACCAGAGGGCTGAGGGGAACCTGTTTGAGGTGTACAAAGTTATGAGGGGCAGAGATAGGATTGATAAGGAGAAACATTTTAGTAGAGAGGTCAATAAGTAGAGGAAACAGTTTTAAGGTAAGGAGCAGAAGGTTTAGAGGGGATTTTAGAGAAAAAATTTCACCAAGAGGTTGCTGGGTATCTGGAACTCACTGCCTAATAGAGTGCAAGAGGCGAGATCTTGCAAGACATTCAAGAAGCACTTGGATGAATACTTGAAACCCCGTAGCGTGGGGTGGAGGTGGACCAAAGCATTTACAGAAGGATTTCCAGAACATTTTGAAGAAAAGGATGGGAGCAGAGACATCTGCTGCATTTGTGAAATTTTAGCTGAGTCATTGAAACTTTCCACTTTGCTTCCTGCTGTTAGGTTTGTTTGACCTGTGGTGATCATGGCTCCCGGAAAAGGCGTGTTGCAGTAAAGTCAGATCAGAAACTATGTTTTGAAGCAAAGGGTCAGGATATAGACCTTTCTCACTATTCCTATTTAAGAGTAGTTTAAAATTGCATTGAAACTGGTGAAGGTGATTATTATTTTATCCTCTGCTGTATAATTAAATTTTAGAAGTTTTTGTACTATCCAAACAGAGTTTGTGCAGGATCCTTTGGGAGCAGGACATATTTCCATTAAGATCACAGAAGGAGGGGAAACTCTCTCATCAATTATTTTCACTGATCATTGACGTTATAAATGAGCAACTGAAGAGAAAAGGACAGGAACATAAGTGTACAATAATGAGCAGAGAACCTGATCTTAGAGTTGCACCACTGTTTGCAAGCAGAGTCAAACTCACCAAAGTTCCTTAGACAGTACCTTCCAAATCCATGATCACTTTCTTCTAGAAGTTCATGGGCAACAGGTACATGGGAACACCACAATCTATAAGTTCCCCTCCAATACATTCAACATTCCAATTTCGAAATATATCACCATTCCTTTAGTGTCACTAGGTCAAAATCCTGGAACTCTCTCCCCAACAGTATTATAGGTGTATCTACATTAAATGGACTGTAGTAGTTCAAGAAGACAGTTCACCTTCTCCAGGGCAATTAGGGATGGCATTAAATGCTGGCAGCCACATGCCAGGAGTAAATTAGTTAAAAATCTGTTGGTGAAATTTTGTCCGCATGTCCATCAGAATCTGAGCATCAAAAGCCCTGTTCAACAAGTTCAGTTGTGTTCCATAAACTGACGAAAATTATATGTACAATAGTACATCACTGTCTAATGGTTATTTGAATCACTCAATGAATACTGCCACCTCATCCTGACATGCAGTGTTTGTAAGGTGACAATAAATTATTTGTAAAAGTAAAACAGTTGATAACTGGTGAAATTTGAAAGTAACATACCAGGGATTGATTTTGTTTGTCGCCCTTGATCTCCAGAATAGAGAGTCAAAATCCTGCCGAATACATTCCCATAGCATCAGGCTGGTACCTTGGCCACGTTTATTTGTACTGACCACAAACTTGTCAAGGTACGGCATTCCATTCAGGACAGGTTCTCTGGTGATAATTGCAGCAGCGCTGTACCTGTGGCAACATGGACAGAATATAGTTGCTGTTCAAAACCTATTCCTAAGTTGTTAATTATTAAAGCTAATCATGACAATTCTGTTTCAACTTTGACTATAAAGAACAAAGAAATAGGAGCAGGAGTAGATTCTATGGCCCAGTAAGCCTGCTCCACTATTTGGGACAATTCTCACTGATCTTTGGCCTCAACTCCACTTTCCTGCCTGCTTCCCATATCCCTTGATACACAGAGACCAAACATCTGTCCACCTTAGCCTTAATGTAATCAATGATGCATCATCCAGGGAACGGTGGAGCAGAAAATTCTGAAGGTACCCAACCCTCAGAGTGAAGACATATCTGTTCATCTAATCCGGAGAAATATCTGTAATTCCCTATTGATCATAAACACCTTGCATGGAAAATATGTCACATTGTGCCTAAACACATTGAACAATTGTATTTCAGCTATAGAGACGACCACAGCCTGACTTCACCGATCAACTTCATGGGGTTAGCGTGACATGTTTCTCAAAAAGGTTAGCCATAGAAGCAGCTGTCTTGTTTTGCTTTGCATAAGCCAACTCATTCTTTATCCAATTTTCTCCCCTTCTAAGTTTTGCACGATCATATAACTAACAGTTATGAGGGTCCGGAGAGAAGACATCTTTTAACTTTGTCAAAGCTTGCAAGTTGAATTATTCCTCCCTGCTATTAAGTAGGAGGAATCAAATTTATTCCACCCACAAGGACAGACTTTATTATGTGCCGGGTTACTCGGTTTCAGTTGCATTGATAAGAAGAGGTGGGGAGGGAAGGTGAGGTGCTGGGAAAGCAGTTAGACTTTGCATTCCTGATCACTGCAGGAAAGTATGCACACACGAGTATCAGCTTGAGGATGATATTGGAATCAGTTTACAGTATCACCTCACATCAATCAACAATGAGATGTCCTAAGCTCAGGGAGCAAGTTATGTTTTAAGATTAATGCATTTTAGATGTGGTGAAATAATAAGTTTCTTTTGAAGTAAGAAGATCTCGTTCTCTCCGTTTGGGAAATGTCATATATATATATGGAGTATTGAATTTCACTGAGTTTTTCTTAGCACACCTTCATTCTGCCCATGTTTTGAACTTGTGTCACTTTCCAAAAGTCTTGAAGTCAATTGAAGGTAGATGTAACTCTCTTCAATTATTTAACTGTTGAGATGAGAAAAAGCACTGCAAAGTGAATTTAGAATTTCTAAATCCAGCAGCAATCAAACAGAAACTGAAAGGCTTACCCTTCTGATAAATAAATAGAATGGAGCCTGGGATTCAGTACTGAAATGTAGTCCTTGTGTAGATCTTTTCCGAAAGATTTATTTATGAGTGATATTAGACGGGTTGTGTCTATTTCATCGAGACTTGTGTATCTGCGGATGGGTTCAGCATTTTTGAATAGTGTACCAGCTCCTGTAATAAATTAAAAATGAATATTCACATTCATCATCTCTGATCTGTCAGAGAGCTAGTATTTCCAGTGATTTGTAAGTATTATATACTCCTGTTAAGGTACACTTCCACAGGTATCACTGGGTAGTCTCTGCAGCTCACCAAACGAGCTTCTCTTCATAAATCAAACCTAATCCTTTCACCCATCCACATTTTCAGAGGATGTTGCTGGACAGCAAACAATACAAACTCTGGTCAATTCTCCCTTTTCTAACTTGGAGCACTGGCATCCCTAGCCAGTATAATCAATTAATTTTCACTGACTGCAGATTAAACCTGATATTTTCTGATGTACATGCTGAATAAGCTGCTGAGACATTGGAGAAGGTAGTGAAAACAGCTTGAACAACCCATGAAACTTAATTCTATTTATGCATTTATTTCAAATTCAGTATTTTGTCCTGATTTTATTTATTTGTTCATGAGATGTGGGTTTATTGGCTAAGCCAACATTTATTTCCCATCCCTGACTGTTCCTGAAGAATGTGTTGGTGAACTGTTCCTTGAATTGTTGCAGCCCTTGGTAGAGAAGCCCACAGTGCTGTTAGGAAAGGAGTTCCAGGATTTTGATCCAGCGACAATGAAGGAATAAGGATATTGTTTCAAGTCAGGAGCAAAAACAGAAGTTGCTGGAAACGCTCAGCAGGTCTGGCAGCATCTGTGAAGAAAAAATCAGAGTTAACATTTCGGGTCTGGTGACCATTCCTCAGAGGAAGTGTCTGGGGAAGGGTCACCGGACCTGAAACGCTAACTCTGATTTTTTTCTTCACAGATGTTGCCAGACCTGCTGAGTTTTTCCAGCAACTTCTGTTTTTGTCCCTGATTTACAGCATCCACAGTTCTTTTCGTTTTTGTTTCAAGTCAGTTTGGTGTATGAGTTAGATGGGAACTTGCAGATTCCCATGCATCTGCTGTCCTTATCTTTTGAAGTTGCGTTTGGAAGATGCTGTTGATAGGGCTTTAGTAAGTTGCTGTAGTGCATCCTGTGGACACTGTACTGCTACCACTGTGCATCTGCAGTGAAAGGAGTGAATTTTCAAGCTAGTCATATCAATCAAAATGACTTCTTTCTCCAGGATGATGTTGAGTTCATTGAATGTTGTTGGAGCTGTGTCCATCCAGGCAAATAGAATATTTTCTATCACGCTTCTGACTGCTGCCTTGTAGATGGTTGACATGCTTTGCAGAAACTGGAACTGAGTTACTCCCCACAGACTTCTCAGCCCGATCCGCTCTTGCAGCCAGTGCTTATATGCTGGTCCAGTTCGGGGATTTAGCCCTTGACTGACAAGGGGCAATTGTTAGGTTCTCTCTTATTGAAGATGGTCATTGCCTAGCACTTCTGTAGGGTGAATGTTATTTGTCACTTAAAGCCCCAGCCTAGGTGTTATCCACGTCTTGCTGCATATATACTTGTATTGTTTCAGTTTTTGAGTTGTTGTGAATGGTTCTGAACACTGTGCAATCATCAGTGAACATACACACTTTGGACCTTATGATGATCGATTTAAGTCATCCTGGCCTCCAAATTTGAAAAGGTCTCTTCTTAGTTTAGCTGCTGACTGGTGAATAAACCCAGCACCATCACTTTATTTTACTTGTTATTGCATATACTGAGATAGAATGAAAAGCTTTGTGTTATAGGCAGATCATAGTAAGCAAAAGATGTACAGACCAAAAGAAGACTTAGACAGAGGCACACAGGTTACATTGCGCAGGGAGTGCACTAGGCAAGATCAACATCAGCAAGATCAGCATTATTTGAGTCTAGAGACAGTCTGATAATGGCTGGGAAGAAGCTGTTCCTGAACCTGCTCAAGCAGGTGTTCAGGCTTCTGTATCTTCTGCCTGACGGAAGAGGTTGTAGGTGGTCATTACCAGGTGCGATGGGTCTTTGATGATGTTGGCCGTCTTTCTGCAGCAGCAAGCCATGTAAGTGGAGTCCATGGATAGAAGGTTGGCTTCTGTGATGGTCTGGACTGTGCACACCACATTCTGTAGTTTCTTACGGTCCTGGGCAGAGCAGTTGCCATACCAGGCTGTTATGTGCCTAGGCAGTATGCTTTCAGTGGTGTATCTGTAGAAGTTGGTGAGGGACCTTATGGACATGCCAAATTTCCTGAGCCGCTTGAGGAAGAACAGGTGTTGTTGTGTCTTTTTGACTGTCGCATTTATGTGGGAAGTCCAGGACAGGTTGTTGGATTTGTTACCACTGGTAACCATGATACGCCCAATTTCATAGATACTCAAGTTCGAGTTGTGTGTGTTATCCATGAGACTTCATAATTCAAGCCTGTGCAGCCGATGGCAACTCACCCACCCTGCTCTTGTACTCTATGCTCCTTTTAATAAAGCCAAGAACACTGCCCTGCTTTATTTACTGTTCTCTTCACCTGTTCCTGCCATCCTCAAAGATCTGCGTACATATATACCCAGGCCCCTCTGCTCCTGCACTCCCTTTAGATTTGTATCTCCTATTTTATGTTGTCTTTCTGGGTTCCTCCAACCAGTGCGTCAGATGCAGATCACACAAAATCACAATATAATTAGGGACAATCAGTTCTATGAAGGGCATTTTTTAAAATATTTCAAAATAGTAACAGACTCCCTTTAAAAAGATCAGAAGGGACACATGAAATAAACATTTCATTTAATAAAATATCAATAAATAGTACATTTCACACATAATAAGGGATGCTACATAGCATTTGCAGTACAGGAGCAGGTCATTTAAACTTTGACATTAATATGGGTGCATGCCCCCCATGAATTCCCTTCCAGTTTACTCCATCGCACCCATTAAAATATCCTTCTATTTTCTTCCTGATGCTCTATCTAGATTTACCATTTCTCATCTTTGCTATTTGCCTCATGTAATCCATGTAACATGTTCCCTAATCTAGCCACTGAGTGAAGAGCTTTCTCCATTTCTTCTTCGGATTTATTTGTGACTATCAAATTAAACCCCTTCATAATTTGAATGACCTCTATTAGCTCAGCTCTCGATCTTCTCAGCCTCAACTTTTTCAGTCTTTTCTGGTATTTCTAACCTTGCTGTTCTGGAGTCTTCCTTGTAAATGGTTTTTTGCACTATCTCCAGTGCCTCTGTATCTTTTTTTTCCAAAAATCAAAAGTAAATCTGTCTTCAGAATCCCTGTAAATTTAACGGGCAGTTCCAGGCTTGGGAAGCGAGGTGGCTAGTTGAAGTAAGTCGTGTGTGAGGTCAAAAACTAAGCTCTCAACAGTGGGCTGAAACTGAGTTTTCAGAACTTTAAATTACCTGAGGGCAAGTGTCAGGAAGCCCATTGGTATGTATTTGCATGTTATGCTTACCGACCAGAATTAACTTGCCCTTCCCCATTAAATTTGCTGCAAGCGATCAATATACATTTTCAGTCAGGAGTCTGAAGACAAGTGGCATGCAGCAGGTAATATACTGGACTGGCTCAACCACTTCTTTGGGCACCCTTACTGATGTCAGGCCATCGTTGAGATTGTGCATCAGTAGTTGCATGAGGCACATTGGGTGATCGGGGTGGTGGATGCTGGAGTGCAATGGGCGCAGGTCAAGCAGGCTGGCCAATGGAGGCAGTCTGTCTGCGGAAGGGAGGAAGGGCCAGAATAGTGAGCTGCAGGAGTCCATTGAGAGGCTGGGTGTTGCCCTTGGCTTGTCCAGATGCCCTTTTATATGTGGTGCCAGGAACTCTAACCCTTTAAGGTAATGGCAGGGCATCAACCTTTTTCCCATCCCTGCCACAAGATTTGCTGTGTTCCTCAAACATGTGTATGTAATGAGCTGAGAACCAACTAATTGTGTGAGAAAAGCTGACCCAGCCCCAAGTGGAAGAGACGCTCACTTCTATGCATGTGTTGAATTTAAATTCCCTATCAGAAGTTTCCACCCAATATAACTTGTCTTCTTTTGAATTTTATTCCTCTATAAATGAATCCCAATGTTTGATTTGCATCTTATAGCTTTGTTAATGGACATTGATATTTTAAGGATCTGTAAATCTGTATCCTACTTTCTTTTGAACCTCTACCCTATGTTGACTATTTTCCAAGACTTTCCTTCTTTCTCTTATTATTGCATCATCTTCCACACATTTGTATTGAAAATCATTTGCTATTTACTTGTCCATTCTGCACATTTAACACCGTATTAGCCTTCCTCAATGTCATCCAAAAACTCAACTTGAATTCACCCAAGTTCAACGAGAAGCATAACAATAGAAACAAAATATTAAACTTCCTTTAACATTAACAAAATCTGGTTATGCATATGGAAGAGAAGACTATCTGGGTATTCTGATTAAACAAATGGGGAAGGGTGATTATTTGCATGCCAGTATAGAAAATGGACTTTCTATACAGAAACTTGCTCCGTTGCTTAGGCCTAGCCTCGTTATGGAGGGTATCACAACCTGATAATGTCATTGTTGTAAAAGAGCTTACACAGCAAATACACAATGTCCAGATCTTGTGTCCTTGCTCCATTACCTCTCCCAAGTTGTTTTTTGGCTATGAAATCAGTTAGTTTATGCTCTGATTGTTTTCTACCGTCACCCACTTGATATTCTGTGCTATTCACAAGTGGGCATTCTCCCCTAGAGGCAACTTCTCCAATTGCCTTCTGGGTAATTGGCTATTGGACTCCCAGAAGGACTGGAGTGCATGCCTTCATGGTCCACAAAAGCCAAGGTTCATCTGAGAATATACAATTGTCAGAATAAGGGTTTATAAACTGGTGAAAGGTCAACAATAGTTAAACAAGTATTACAGTCATAAAATACAAGAATATGCATTAAGAATATCTATGAACTAGGAAGTGAAATGACCATGTCAAGTTGATTTCACATTACTTTTGTGATTAGATAATAATGGATTTGTTGTAGCACACTTAGCAGAATTTAATCCAATAGATGTTTGGATCTCTTCTCATTACGTGTCAAATTCATTCTTCATTCAGTAAACTTTGAGGATACAACTCCACGATTGAGGTATTTACTTTCTTCTTTCTTAATGCCAAATCACCATCAGTCCATCTACCCATCTACCCCTTTAAGCATTGCAAAATGTACATTCTCCCTTACTGTGTTGCCCTGATAGTCTATCTGGCCAACTGAAACCTAGAGCCATAAGGAATGAGGTTAAACTCAGCAACAAAGGAATCATGTTTAATTTTCTTTAAGAAAATATTTGAATGTACTATTGCACCACTTGTTATCACTTGTGAAAAAGTGTAATCTGGAAATGCAGAATTTTTGGTGGTAAATTGTTACTTTGGAGCAGAAATTGCCAAAAATATGCTGATGGTCCACATAGGATGATCTCCTTTGCCCTCAATATTTACGAGTAGACTGCATCATTCTGATTTAGAAATAGTTGCAAATACAATAGTGCAATAAATCTATTTGGTGACCCATAAAAATAAGACAGCACCATCACCCACGGTCCAGTGGCAGGTTGAAGATGCCTTGAACCTATAAAGCGAAGCTGGTGGGTATGGTGCACACAGAACCACTGAATCTGTAGCCTGGAAGGAATGCATTGGGGCGGCTACTGATCTGTGACAAAATGATCTTGACAGACTGCCCAAAATTATTTAGCAGTTTCAAGACGAGTCAACAAAAAAAAAACTGGTTCTCAGAACTAAAAAGTGCTCATAAAGGCTGCACAGAAAATGCAAAAAAAAACAAGGAAATTGGAGTGTTTAATCTTATTCACAATATTTATAGTACTGAAGTAATAGTCCTATGAATTTTTGCTCCCAGTGTGGAGATTCAGCATAGGAGCAGAAACATTTCTAATTTCCCCCAAGATCTGTTACTTAAAATCGAGTAACATAAAATGATGTTTATTTCCATGTACCATGGTGATGTAATATTCGAACATTATGTATGTTTCATATGGCATCTTAATCTGTTTAAAATACCTTGAATCCAGCTTGAGTCTATTCATAATTTCTCTTGCTACATGTGGCGTTTTTGAACTTTCAATTGCAAATTTCCTGCTTTTCTGAAGTCTCTTCAATTTTTGGTACTCTGCAAAACTGCTGTCTATAATTTGAGACATTTTTAACCACTGTTCATCAGTTCTAGTAGTTCATTGGAAATATCCTAAAGGAAAAATGTCTTTGGTCTCAGGTTTCTCTTCAAGTCCATTCCTAGGGATCTTCATAAAGAAACTCGCTCTATGACTTAATGCTGGTCACATCTGTTGACCCATCCTACTACAAGGCAGCAAAACTCTTGTTATTAGTGGCAGCCCCCATGTCTTCAAACTGTGCCTATGTTCTGGAAAACTGTTTGCACACATTTTTGTTCCCACTTTCAAAATCTCCAAAGTTTTCTTAATGGATCTTCCCTGTCCACTTCTGAGGAAGACGTCATTAAGCATTTTCCATGTAAAGATATGTACACAACAATGTGGTTTTCTGCTTACACTACGTATGCATATGCTGTAGGTAATAGGCCACAAGAACAGGAACCTGTGATGAAATTACTGAGATGTAGCTATATTGAAGTATCAATTGTTTCACCATTCAATTAGATCATGGCTGATTTGTACCTTAGCTCAATATATCTCCATATGTATTAATAACAATATAGCTCCATAACTCTCGATACTCATACCCAACAAAAATCTATATAACTCAGTCTTCAACAGTTCAATTGACCCAGCATCTTCAGTCTTTTGGGGTAGGGAATTTCAAATTTCTGCTCTGACAGAAATGTTTTCCCAGTTTCATTTTTAAATCGTTTACCTTAAATCTTGAGATTAAGTCCCCTGTTTGAATTTTTCCACAAGATAAAATAGTTTTCTGTATCTACTCGACAAAATAAATCCCCTTGTTGTTTTAAAGACCTTGATTAAATGAATGGAATACAAACCAAGCTTATACAATCTAACCACAAAATTTAATACTTCAAACACTGATATAATCCTGGTGAACTTCACTGAGCCACTCCAATCCTTCCTGGGATAGGGTACACTGAAACTCAGGTTCCCGATGGGGTTGGACCAAAATTCTATAATAAATGAAGCATCAGTTCTCATTCTTGTACTCCACTATCTTCATATAAAATGACAACATTCTGTTAGCCTTTTATTTATGCATACCTACATTTTTCCCTAACTAAAAGAAGTGCTTTCTTCTCTCTTTCCATGGCAATAATATCATCTTCTCACCCCAGTTGTTTCTTTTCCAAAACAATGGCCTCCTCCATCTGGCATCTTGTCCTATCCAATTTGGTTTTGAAATTTAAAAAAGTAACTGATAATTCCATGACAAGTCATTAACATTCATCACATTGAACATCTTCAGTGCACACAATATTGTGTCTTTTCAAACTGCAGTGGTTGCTTCACTATATGTTGATCTCATCTGTTTTGCTTCAGCAATTAAAGTCTTGTTTCTATCAATTAATCAAAAGTCACAATTTCTTTGTGCTTCTCAGTCACTACTTTCCTACAATGATACCAATATTATTCTTTTCCACCTATGCTTGACTATACTATCTCAAACTAATCTTGCATATCATTTCTATTGTTAAAAAAAATCTCCACAAACTCATGGATATTCTTTTGTGCCAAACACTCTTTCCACCTCCCTTCCCCGCCCTAAGAACATCAACTTGTATTTATTTTGCATCTTTAATATAGTCGAAGGTGCCAAGGTTTTTCACAGGTAAGTTGTGAGAAAGTGTTTGGCATTAAGCTGCTAAAGAAAATGCTAGGACAGATAGCCAATTGGTTCAAGAGGAGAGATTTTGAAATTTCTCTCAATAGGTAGAAAAGGTGGAGATTTTAAGGAGGGAATTCCAGAGTTTAGCACCAGAATGCTGAGGGAAGGTGACATGGTGACAGCAGCAGAAAGTTGGGATTTACAAAACAGAAGTGCAGAAGCACAGTTCTTGGAGGAAGTTACAGAAATAGAGAGGGGCGAGCTCATGGATAGATTTGAACACAAGAATGAGAATTTGGAAGATGAGATTGTTATGGGATTGGGAACAAATGTAGTTCAATGAGCACTGGAGTGATCTGTCCTCTATATCGAGTAAGACCATACAAAATTTGAAAACTTTCTCAGTCTGTGGAGACTCTTAAAGCACTTTTGTTCTGCATCAGGACAGGTTGCAGAAAAGAATTTATGATATCATTGGATATCCTTTTGAACTTGTGCCTTCCAATCACACACTTTCTCCATGTTGCATCACAACTTCACACTACTTATCAATGACATGCTGGTCATTGATCCCCTGACCTCTTTTCTCATGTTTATCCCAAGCTTCAAACTTACTTACCTCCTCTCTGTAATATCAGTGTTGAAATCATGACATGTCTAGCTTTAATTACTTTTGTAGGACATAAAAGTTGATATTCACTAGCCAGAAGTTTCGTTTCTGTCAACTGCATGCAAGCTTTTATAGCAAATGCACCATAATTTAACCTCTGCTTGTTAATTTATCTCATGCTTTCCTCAATTTTTTTTAAACTGGTAGCTTCCTGCATAGCGAACTCGTATATTTCACAGACACTGGACCAATCAACTTCTCCCAGCCCCCTACGTCGTCATTTGCTCTGATGCAGTTATCAGCAGTTGCCATTATATGGCCACTCTCCAAATACACACTTCAAACAGACATTATATGAGCAGAGCTAATCAGAGCAGGAGGGAGTTTATGTGAAGTACAAACTCAGTGATCCATTTTTGTTGATTCTATGTACTCCTAAATAATTTGTTGCACATTATGCAACAAATACTAGATCTATACAAAGATAGGATGTGATTATTACGTACACAGCTCACAGCATGACACTCCCCTGATTGACCAACTCTGAAATTTCCAATTTGTAATACATATAAATATCTAGTATGTGACAATTTTGAAGGATAGGATGGTACCTCTATGACTGAAGAGCTCTGCGAGTATGGTGTTGGCAGAAGTGATGACTGCAGATGACTCTGATGGTATGTGATTGAGGAGATCCATGATCACTTTTGCTTTCTCTTCCTCTTTTTGACTAATCCAGTTGGCATTTGAAAGAAGATCTAGATCAGATGGAAGATTGATCTGTCCCACAACCTGTACCATGCAAAAACAATGCTTATCAATTGTTGAGGAACTTGCTGAAATGGAGAACCATAGACATAGGTCCCAGCTCACGCAGAATTTGGCTTGAGAGCTGCAAATGAATCCTGCATTATGGTATGGATAGATCAGGGAATATTATTCTGCAGTGATTGCCTTATTTTATCTTTATGTTTTGCAATGTGATTGTCAACTTGAACCTGCTGTTTGTTTTTTTTCAAAAAAATTGTAGATACCAAGTCTCTTTGGGAGGACTAAATTCCAAATTTCTTTTACAAAATAGACTGCCATGAAGACAGGCCAGTAGATTTATATTAGGTGAAGAAAATTAGGAGTAAGAAAAATTAAATATCTAGGTTTTGCATAGCTCATCTGTTTAGAGGAGAAATTTGGTGTCACCCTCAGACTAGACAAATACTCCTCGTCTTCACTCAAGATATTCATAACAGAGAGGTTCAAGATCACAAAGCAAAGGGACTGACTATTAAGGTTAAAATATGAGACAAAGTGTTTCATGAGATTCAGGAATAATAAACAGGACTTTTGAAACTTATTTCTAAACATAACAATCAATCAACTTGAATGTACTAGACTGAGCCTTTCATTGGGTTGGAACCATTCCGAAATATTTAATGCATGCAACTTGCTGATTAAGGTCCAATTTTGAGACAGGTTTCCTTCAAACAACTTCTACTTTCCAGGAGGCATGTTGGAACTAGTACATTGTTCCGCTTTTGTTTTAGACACACCAAAGAGAGTTTAGCAGGTATTCTGGTGGGGCTCTTAGAAACCACAGAACTTTAAAATGGTTCCTAGTGAACTGAACAAGCCATGTGTCAGTTTGAAGTTCTCAGGATTTGCTTCCTCAAGAATTGGAAATTTCAAAGCATTGTGGTGAAATTATGCACAGACTGGTCCAATTATACCTTTCACCGTCTCTGTACTCACGGAACCAATTCAATTCCACCGATCACAGCATTTTGGAGCTTCCTACTAATTGTACTATACTTACCCTACTTATACTATATCCTATTAGAAATTCTTGTGAATCTATTTTATGAGAAGTTTAAGTATTTGTGTCCATTTGACACCATGTTTATTGTGACAAGTTTTATCAGTAAGGAGCTTCATTTTTATGCAGTAAGCACAATTTTCCATAATCAGGTGTTCATTTTAACTTGAGGGAATATATGGGAAAGCCAGCATTGTAAGCTTACTCTTTGATTTAAGGTTTTAGCAAAGATTTGTAGCTTGGATTGTGGGTGAGGTTGTTGACTTGCCCGACGAGCTGGCTTGTTTTCATTCAGACGTTTCGTCACCATGCTAGGTAACATCATCAGTGTGGTGATAAAGTGATCGTTGTTCTACTCCGTTCAGAATTTATACTGTCCGGTCCGTTATGGTGAGGACTGTCATTTCCGGTTTTGTTCCGTATGGGTTTGTATGTGGGGTCCAATTTTATATGTTTGTTGATTGCCTTATGGGTGAGAACTGTGCCTCTGGGAATTCCTGTGCATGTCTATGTTTGGCTTGGGCTACCATAGTTACGTTGTCCCAGTTAAACTGATGGCCCCTTCATCGTCTGAATGTACTGATATTGGGAAAAGTTCCTCGTGTCATTTTGCTGCCAGCTAATATTCTGATGGCTAGTTTCCTTTCTGTCTGTCCAGTGAAATGCTTGTGGCAGTCGTTGCATGGTATTTTGTAAACTACGTTGGTTCTGCATGTTGTGGGAATGCCAAAAACATTACATCGGACAGACAGGAAGGAAACTAGCCATCGGAATACATGAACATCAGCTAGCAGCAAAACGACACCACAAACTTTCCTTAACATCAGTACACTCAGACAATGAAGGCCATCAGTTTACCTAGGACAACGTAACTATAGTAGCCCAAGCCAAACATAGACATGCACAGGAATTCCTAGAGGCATGGTTTTCAACCTATAATGCAATCAACAAACATATGGAATTGGACCCCATATACAAACCCATACAGAATAAAACCGGAAATGACAGTACTCGCTATAATGGACCGGACAGTATAAATTCCAAGCAGAGTAGAACAACGTCGCTTCGTCGGAGGCCTCACTGATGATGTCACCGAGCATCGTGACAATGTCTGAACGAAAACAAGCCAGCTCGGCGAGCAAGCCAACAACCTCACCCTTTGATTCATGATTTACATTACATAATGTATAGTTTCAAAAAAAAAACTTTGAAAATGATATGCAACAGTCCAGTGACCAATATGCATTTGATAGGATATACAAAATAAGGCAGATTGATCAGGGTTACAAAGCTAAATATTAGTGGTCTTGTGTATGACAAAGCAGCAAATCATTGAGACATAAGCCTTCATTTTGTAACAGCACTATATTGCATCTGCTCAAAAATCCAACACAATGATATCTCAACCATGCACATTTCATGCACAGTGCTGCCTTAGCCAAGTGCACAGCAATAACATCCACTTTGTTTGCTTGTACTAGCAGCCTGATCTCCAGAAGAACAACTGTTATGTTCTACACATCCTACCTGACTACGACAATAAGCAGTACCAAACCAAACATATGGGTACACATCAAATATGCATCACCAACTTAAATGACACAAAAGAATGTCAAAGGAATAGAAAACTAAATGACTTTAAAGGGCCATGTGAAAAGAGCACTTGTTGGTGATACAGCAATGGAGTGGCTTTCAATCAAATTCCTTGTAAATGAAAGTAGATGCATGTGAGTGATCGGTCTTTACTGATACAACCCTTATGTGATCAGTCACGGGTTAAGCTGTCATGAAGTTTGGGATTTGGTGTTACTACCCTACACTGTAGAGAGACTGCTCTCTTTGACTGTACTGTCTCCACTTATCATGTGCTGCACCTTGGTTTCTGCTTTTTGCAAGGGATATTATTGTCTGCCTGTCAGGAGTTTGAGCAAACTCTACTTTACACAATATTACACATAATGTGGATCTCTGTGATACAGCTCTGGGTACATTCTCTGTCTGTCTTGATAGCAAGTGACTGCTGATGCCTGTGTTTCGTCACCTTAATTCATCACCTTAAATTTATTCCATTGATTCCATTCTTCGGATTTGCGCATTTCTGGCAAGGTCAGAATTTGTTGTTCATTCCTAATTGTTCTTGAACTGAGTGGCTTGCTCAACCATTTAAGAGTCACTCAGATTGCTATGGGTTGGAGTCACATATAGGACAGACCAGGTAAGGATGGCAGATTTCCTTCCTTAAAAGGGTGTTAGTGAACCAGATGGATTTTTATGGTAATTGATAGCTTCCTGATTACCATCACTAAGTCTAGTTTTCAATTCCCAAATTATGAACTGAACTTAATTCCACCAGATGCCTTGGTGAAATGTAAACCAATATCCCCAGAGCATTAGCTGGGTCTCTGAATTACTATTCTGGTGAGATTACCACGACATTACCATCTCCCTTTCATTCAATTTTGGTGCCCCCCACCAAACTCACTTCCATAACAAAACCTCAATCCCTTACATCTAACATCAAATATTTGTGTTAAATAATTACTCCCATTTAAAAATGTGAACACTAACAATCATTCAACTTCAATGAAAATATTAGAAACTGATCATATCAACAGGTTGTCACCTGTAGCACACCTATTAGTAAAGTGGATGCAGCAAGAATCTTTTTTGTAAATATGAATTTTAGTGACTTATCTGCCTTCTACCAGCACATTGTGAACCTGAAAGAGCTGTGGTAGTTGGCGAGGTTGTGGGGGTGGGGAGAGTGTGAAATAGGAGGATGTGGAGAATGGATGCTGAGGGTGGGTGGTATGTACTACGTGTAGCCCTCTTAGAATCTTTCACATTTCAATAAATGGGACAACTTCTTCATCCCTGGAATCAACCTGGTGCACCTTGTCGGAACTGTTCCCAGTACTTTCTATAAAGATGACTTTTTTTTTAATAAAAGGGAAGCAGGTAGTCTCAACTAGAGAAAAGGAATCATGAGTGAATTAATAAAATTATTGGACTGCAGCCCTGTGTTTTCTCCATTAATTTAAGTCTTCTGTATATCACCACCTTGCTGAGGGGGGCGGGTGCAACACATTGGCAGGAAGCTTTGCCAGGTAGGAGACAAATGTGTGAGAATTGTGCAAGGTGACTGAACATGCAGTACAGCAAAAATTCATACGCTAATGAAGTGTTGCTACAACTGTTCAGGGAATTGATGAAGCCACATTTGCAATATTACGTACAGCTTTGGTCTCCCTCTTTTTTAAGGATGAGTGTATTTGCATTGGGGGTAGTCCAGAGAAGGTTCACTAGGTTGATAGCTGGGTTATCCCATGTGGAAATGTTGAATGTATACTCACTAGAGTTCAGCACAATGAGGGGTGAACTTATAGAAACACAAAAGGCTCAAAAGTAGCTTTACACAGTCAATGCTGAGAGGATGTTTTCCCATGTGGGGAATCTAGAAATAGAGGGGACAGTTTCAACGTTAGAAGTCTCACATTCAAGCCAGAGATGGGGAGAAGCTTCCTCTCAGGTCCTGAGTCTTTGGAATTTCCTACTTCAGGAGCAATAGAGGCTAGGTCATTGAAGCTGAATGAGATGGATTTCTGTTCTACAAGGGAATCAAGAGCTATGGCTTTGTGGGGGATGGTGGGTTGGGAGGAGAAGTTCCTTGCAGTCCCATTTCTGTTGTTTTGATGCTCTCTATGACTTTCCCTTTTCCCTCATGTTGGAATAGTTCGGTTTAATTTGCCTTCAAAGCTGTTGCTGATTGAATTCATTTTTGGCAATTACAACCCCCCAAGTGCAGCAGATTGGAGCCTCAGCACAATACAGAACTTGAACCAGTCTGGGAGCGTCATCAGTACCTGGTCTAACTTTTAAACAGTGACCTGTGAGAATTAGATTTACTGCCTGTAATTTTATGAAAGGCATTTAGCTCAAACGTTGGGATGATCTTGGATCCTTCTGAAGGAACTGAAATATTTACTTGTCAATTGCAACTGAAGTGTGACTATGGCAGATACACTGCTCAATAACTACTGAATGTAATCTGACTCTGCAGCACAGTTCCTACTTTAGTGCAGTGAGAGCCAAAAAGAAATCCTATCATTTATTAGGATCACACATCAATCAAACGCATCTTAACTTTCTCTACCAATCAGTAAATGTGTCTTACTGTCCGTTTACAAAGTCATTGAATGGGACCCACACAGAAAATGCCAGATAAACTCAGCAGGTCTGGCAGCATATGTGGAGTGAGGAACAGATAAGATTTTGAGATAGTAGGAACTGCAGATGCTGGAGAATCTGAGATAACAAGGTGTAGAGCTGGATGAACGCAGCAGGCCAAGCAGCATCAGAGGAGCAGGA